CTGCGTAAATTGCATTAGCCAAGGAAGTAAATTACAAGGCACAGTAATGCTTAATATAGTCTGTTTTTAATAAGAACACTTTGTTAGATCCGCTAAGGTTGAATAGTCTTCATTTTAATTTATTTTCTTGGCGGCGTTAGCATTGCCAGCATAAAGAATTTTGGCTTCAGACAGTATACAGAATCGCACGATAGATTTCTGATTCTCGTACAGAAAGAATATTTGAACATAGAACATAAATTTACTTCAAAGTTTAGTAACTGCGATCATTTTTGACTTTTCGTTCGGTGAAAACTACCTATTATGTTATCGATTTTTTAAATGAAAAAGCGAGATCAAATTTGATCGATCACAGCATTATCACTGTCTCAAAAAAAAAAAAAAAAGAATAAAAAGAATTATTCTTTCTTTGTTTACTCGTCTCAGGTTGAGTTATTTTCCATTGGGTCACTGACAATCGCTTGGATGTTTCAATAAAGGAGAAAGGGTGTATGTTTTCATACCAAATTCATATTTATTTTCAAGCAGTTCACGGAAAATCAATCAGGCCAAACATACCCCGACGATTCAAAGCATACTTAAGCGCCTTCATCATTGCCCTAGAAAGGAAGAGCCGAAGCACACTAATTTCTACGCGACAGTTGTAGAGGTGACAAGACAGTTCTTGTATCTGCGTCATCTCTAAGTGAAGAAAACCATGTCACAATTATACAACTGTGCTAAAGAATTTCAAATGTTTTATCCAATATAAGGTTTTACATACACATGCAAAACAACACATAAATATGTATTCTCTAATAAGGTTTCCCGAATATTTAAGGAAGTAAACAAAAATAAATACATTTTCCTTGATGGTTACTTTTCGTTGATGTTTCTCTTTAAAAAACCATCAAGGAAAAAACAACAGCAAATAAATAAATACCAAAAAAGACTGTAACTACAACATCGATCAATAAGAGGTTTAACAGATAATAATGAAAACAAATGAGCATGATTGTAGCCAGACAAAGATACCCCAACTCAACTTTACACGACTCCAAAGATTTGACATATAATAAACATTCCTACTTTCATCAAAGCAGAGGCCCTTGATAATGAAAAAGAAACCCTAGATTACACCTCCAACTTCAACCTATAAATGAGTAAAACATTTCTTCGGTTTGTTATTCTAAACATCGCTTGTGAATGAAACTGTGCTCTAAATTTCAAGTTTAATTTTGAAATTAAAATTTAGGACTTGAGTTTCAGTTTAGAAACAGTAATTTCTGTGTTGCGATGGAATCATATTTTTAACAGAAAATTTATGATATATATATATATATATATATATATATATTGTGACATAGCTCCGATTTCATTAACCATATAGGCGTAAATCTAAAAAGCACCCCAAAGTAAAACCTCAAATTCTTGTCGAAAATTAGTTAGATATAAAAGAAAAATAAATAAATAAATATAGAAATTTAATCCAATGCCTTCAACTTGCGAGCGAATATGTTCCATGATCAGCCATACCCTCCTCTTCTCTTCACAAATTCTTTCCCTCTTTATCTACTCTTCCACCCACAAGCCAAGGGCCCGTGAACTTTGAAGTGACCCGACGCGAGAATGACTTGGTTCCAAAATTTCGCAGCTATCAGGCGTTTGACCATAAGTGAATTCCAGGCACCATCAGGATCTCCTGCTGTGATTCACGTGATCAGAACATACTAAGCGTGGATTGAACTTATGACCACCACACAGACACTGCGTGATTTGCGCCCCATTCTCCTGCGTACCCGGTCAAGGACGAAGGGAACCCACGTGACTGTCTTTGGGGACAGCAGAAATCTAAAAAAAGGATTTTCAGTTTTCCTCTGACCAGCGACAGTTGAACGTCGCTGGGCAACTCGTCCCACTGAGATGAAGAAGACAGCAAAGCCTGTCGACTAGGGATGAAAGGACTGCTATGAAACTGAATGAACCCAACGAAACGCCTGTACAATATGCTGTGGACCATCGAACCCTTGTGAAATAAAAGAAATCCAGGAAAATTGCCGGCCGACCAAAATGTTGTTTTCGCATCAGAACTCTCGCTTCGGCGAATCAGAATTTTTTGTGAAAATATCAACTCGACTGAAAGTTAAGTTGATTCTCTTGGTTTGATCTGTTGTTATATATATATATATTCGCTCGCGCCCTCTGTTCTTTAATGATCCCCTTCCCCTTTGTTAAATGAATGTTCCTTTTTTTTCTTTCTTTATCTGTTTATAAATTTATAAATAAATGTTTTATTTTGAAATCCATCGTCTTGTGTCTGTTCTTCGTTGATTCCCTTGTGTAGCTTCCATTTCTGAGTGAAGACCGAGAAAAGATCCCACGTTTCCTTTTTTTTTAAACCGTGGTTCATCTATATGCTACAAGTTCGTAACAATATATATATATATATATATATATATAATATATATATATATATATATATATATATATATATCATAACGATATATAATTTTTTATGTATCAGGAACAATTTGGAAAGAAAAGATGCATGATAAATTGGAAAAAAGGTGTTTCATCCGTTAGGACTTCATCAATCTAAATGTTTTGACGTTGTAGTGACTACACATACGTATGAACGAGAGGCGCTGGTAGTTTCAAAATATTTGCAAGAATTTTCTCTTTTTTGCAATCTAGCCAAATTCAACTATATACTTTTACTTTTTCTTTCCATTATCTTCATTATCGAGTATCCCACATCGTGATTACAGTCAAGACTGGTGAAATTTGGAAACCTCATGCAGCATTGCTTGGCATTCGCGCCGGAAACGCGAATACAACTATTTCAGTGTGTTTTGATGTCAACCTGAAGACAGCGCAGAGGATTCGGAAACAGTTGGACGAGTCTAATAATGATTAGGAACGTAGAGCACCTCGGAAAACTCATACTATTCGTTCTGGTAAGAACTCCTGAATTTATTGGTGAAGGCTTCGTGCTCAACAAAGAGGTTTACATCAAGTGCCTTGAGGGGGTAGTACTGCCCTGGGTCAAGAGGGTGACTAATGGAAGACCCAACCTCAAGCGACAGGACACTGCACCATGCCACACAAACAGTAGAACCTAGTCATGGCTGTCAGACAATCTCTGCGATCACAAACCCCTTGAGTAGTATGGGTGGGGCTCAGTTGTGCAAGAGACCAAGAAAACTCCTTGTAACACCAAAGATGAACTGAAGCCAATGATTATGGCAGCATTTACATATATAAACAAGGAGACCGTCCAGAAGAGTTGCAAGAGACTCTGAAGTCGTCTATAGGGCGTCTGGTGAAGCAATGGCGATTTTATTGAATAAATTTACTTTTTAGTATTTCAAGACATTTTGGTGCAATTTTGGTAAATGTATCTGTTACTATGGGATGTCAGTGTTATTTTCATTTTTGCGTAATTCAGACGACAATTTATTCTTAGCATTTGTTTTTATTAAATTTTGCTCTTTCTTTTTGAATAACCCTATTTTCATGGGTCCTTAACTAGAACTACAGAATGAACTCTTCTTAACACTATGTATACTTTGCCTCTCAAGAGAGAGGGACGAATCGAGTCGAGCTGATAGTAGTTCACTCCAAACCAGACTGACAGTCATACTAACACTTTCCACATCTTGTATTATTATTTCGTGTAAT